GTTGGCGGCGGAGAGGACACGGCAGAGGCGGGCGGAGGGGCGGTGGTTGGTGCGGTATGGCCTCCACGCTGTGATTCGCGTGCTTCGCGTTTCACTTTGTCGGCGGCGATTCGGTTGGCCTCATAGATCGCAGCGCCTGTCTTCACTTTCCTTCTCCAGGTCGGTCGGTCGAGGGCGAGCACTTCCCAGTTGGTCGGGTTTATTTGCAGATGCTTCAGGGAGGACTACAGAGTATCGTTTTATCGACGAATTTGGCCTCCTGGGCGGCGAGAGCCCGTCGCGACGTCTCCGCAGACGAGTCGTTTGGGTAGTCGCTCGTCATCCATACGCACCAGGTGGCCGCACGAGGACAGCTGCATTTGTCTCAGCATGGTGTAGGTGCTGACGATTCCCGTCCGTTCCAGCACATCAGTGTCGGGGATTAGATCCTGCCAGTTCGGCCTCAGGATGCGACGGAGACAAGTGAGGTGAAAGTGGTTCAGTCGACGTGGCTGCTTTGTGTATACTGTCGAAGTCTGCGCTCCGTACAGCAGCGTCGGCAGGATGACGGCCTTGCACATCTTCAACTTCGTGCTCAGTTGGAGACCGTGACGATTCCAGACTGCGCTTTGGAGGCGGCCGAAGGCTTGACTGGCTTTCGAGATCCTGTTGGCGACTTCGCCATCGATTTTGTTGTTAAGGGAGAGGGTGCTGCCCAGGTACGGGAAGTTCTCCATCACTTGCAGTTGGGTTCCGTTCACAATGATTTGCGGCGCGTTGGTAGGAGTGGCTGTGCTTGGTGGCGGTTGATGCATGACCACCGTCTTCTGCGTGTTGATGACCAGACCGAAGTTCTCGCAGGCGGCAGAGAAGAGATCCATGCTCCTTTGCATCTCCTCTTCCGAGGTGGTGTTCAGGGCGCAGTCGTCGGCGAAGTGAAGTTCGTGAACGGTGGTTGTGGATACGCGCGATTGAAAGTGCATCCGCCGTTGATTCAGAAGGTGACCGTCCGTCCTGTAGGCGATGCGGATCCCGGGGCGTTCATCACGGTAGGCTTCCATCAGCATGGCAGAAAACATAAGACTGAAGAGGGTAGGGGCCAGCACGCATCCCTGCTTCATTCCGTTGGTCACTGTGAATGCCTCTGAGACAACTCCGTTGTCCGTGACTCGCGCCATCATACCGTCGTGCGGCTCACGCACCATCTGGATGAATCGCTCCGGACAGCCGAATTTCTGCAGGATTTTCCACAGTCCTTCACGATTCACCGTGTCGAAGGCTTTCGTCAGGTCCACGAAGGCACAGTAGAGGTGGGTCCTCATCTCCTGCCACTTCTCCTGTAGTTGACGGGCGGCGAAGATCATATCCGTGGTCCCACGATGACGACGGAAGCCGCATTGGCTTTTTGGCAGAAGGCCCTGTTCCAGATGATTATTCAGACGATTGAGAAGGATGCGAGCGAAGATCTTCCCGGCGATGTTCAACAGGGAGATGCCGCGGTGATTGTCGCGGACTTGGCGATTCCCTTTTCGCTTGTAAAGGTGCACGATATTTGCGTCCTTGAAATCTTGCGGGACTTCACCTTGGCGCCACATCTCCTGGAAGAGCGCAGTCAGATGATCCATCAGTAGGGGACCTCCGTGCTTGTAGACCCCAGCAGGGATTGCGTCCGATCCGGGTGCTTTCCCGCTAGAGAGCTGCTGCACGGCCCTGATGGTTTCCTGGAGAGATGGCGGGAGGTCGAGGACCACGCTGGTCTCCACTTGCGGCAAACGGTCAATGGCGACGTCGAAAATGGCGGAGGGGCGGCTGTGGACGCCTCGGAAATGCTCGGCCCATCTCTGTTGAATTTGTGTCTTCTCAGTCAAGAGGGTACTGCCGTCGGCGCTGAAGTGAGGAGCGGTGCCCTTCGTCGGCGGACCGTAGACAGCTTTGATCGCGGAGAAAAAGTTCTTCCATTCGTTTCGGTCGGCGTATCCATGGATCTCCTAAGCTTTGCGAGCAGTCCATCGTTCTGCATCTCGCGCAGTCGTTGCTGAAGGTGGCGGCGACTGCGGTAGAAGGCAGCTTTGTTGTCGTCATTGGGGTGGTCTACGTAGGCTTTGTGTAGGCGGTTCTTCTCGGCAAGCAGATTGCTGATGGCGGCGTCGTTGTCGTCGAACCAGTCCTGGTGTTGTCGGCGTGCGCGACCGAGGACGGCTAGCGTCGTCGACTGGACCGTGTCTCGCAGTCGACACCAGCGGTTCTCCACGGAGGCGTTCTCAGCAGCGGCAGCATCGGCGGCGGCAGCGATTGGGAGGTTGTCTAGCCGCTGAGCTAGTTCATCGCTGAAATGGAGATGGTGGGCGGGCAAAGACAACAAGGCAATATTCAGCTTACCTGTGGGTCGTTTACCTTGTGGTCTCCTGCGAGGCTGTAGGCGAATACGCATTTCGAGATGACGAGGCGATGATCGGTCCACCCGTCAGCACCCGCGATCGCCTTCGTCACCAGCACGTCCCGCTGGTCTCGCCTCCGGATGAGGACAAAGTCCAGCAGGTGCCACTGACGCGACCGAGGATGCCTCCAGGTGGCCTTCTCTCGCTCCGGCAGACAGAAGGTGTTCGTCAGGATGAGGCGGTGTTCTGCGCAGACGCGGAGGAGCAGCAGACCATTGTCATTTGAGTCGCGGAGACCATGGGGACCCAGCACTCCTCTCCAGGCAGCATGCTCTGTGCCGACGCGGGCGTTGAGGTCACCAAGGACAATCAACTTGTCTGCCTTCGACACAGTCGCCAAGAGGGCGTGCAAGTCCTCGTAGAATTTGTCTCGTGCGGCGTCGGGGTTGGTCATCGTCGGAGCGTAGGCGCTGATGATGGTGGCGAATTTGCCATCACCCCGGAGAGGCAGACGGAGGCTCATCAGGCGATCGTTGATGCCCTGCGGCAAGCAGGGCAGTCGTCCCACGATGTCGTTCAGAATGGCGAAGGCGACACCCGCGTCCCGTCGCTCTGCCCTGGGTCGACCGCTCCAGAAGAAGGTGTAGCCGGCACCCACCTCCTCCAGTTGGCCTTGTTCGGAGAATCGAGTCTCGCTGAGTGCGGCGATGTCCACCTTGTAGCGCGCCAGTTCCCGGGCCACTAGCGCCGTCCTCCGTTCCGGTCGGTTGGACATCGGATTTTCTAAAAGGGAACGAACATTCCAGGCTGCCAGAGTGAGAGGACTCACCCTGCCAGTCTGGCGACGAGTGAGGCGTCGGGAAGGAGGTGGACAAAAAGATGGCGAAGGAGAAGAATAGGCAGAGGAAGAGGGAGAAGAGGTAGGATGAGGAGAGCGAGTAGTGTTGTTGTTTTTGTTTTTGTTGTTGTTATTTCGATTTTGGTGGTTTTGACCGTGAGTTTTACGTCTGGGACCACGGTCAGCCTGCAGACGACGTGGTTCCCCATCAATTTTTAGGCCAACTTTTCCAGGCCCCCTCCGAAGAGTAGCAGTGCCCCCCTGAATAGGGCTGCTTGATGTGCCGGCGCGGCCGAACTCCACTGTGGGCCACGAGATTTTCTTTGCAGTGGAAGAACAACTCGAATTGGCCAATGACTTACGACCGCCGTAAGCCCGCGGTCTCCCACGGTGCGCCA